ATTTAAAAGAATCTAAATAACAATAGGGTTTGCATATACAGCAGGGTATCTCCAAAAGACAATGTTCTACAGGCATCAACAATGTTATTTTTAAAAGAATATAATGAAATAGGAAAGTATATGATATTATCTTAAGTGGATAAAGCAAAATATAAAACAATATAATTCCACTAATTAAATATCTCAATCGTACACATACATGCATAGAAAAAATGAAAGAAGAGAACAAAATATTAATAGTAGTTATTTTTGGCTGATGAAAATTTATGGATGCTTATTTATTATTCTATTCTTTACATATTGTTTTTTTTTCAAATTATCTTGAATAAATGTGTTACTTTTATAATCAGAGAATTACTAAAATCTTCTTCCATTAGAAAGCTGGGTTATAACTATTTTGCTTTATTTTTTCAGAGTGAAGGAAATAATTTTTTAATTTTATAATTTCATAGTTTTTTACATGCTACATTAGATGGCTTTTAAAGACTTCTTATTTACGTTCATTGTTATAAAAAAGTAGCAAGGCAATCAGTAATACCCAGTTAGAGATTTCAATACAGTTTTGATTCTTGTGTAAATTTTTTGCCTCTCATGGTTTAGAAATTAATTTATTTATAAAACTCTTGAAGTCCTTTGACTTAATACCATAGATTCCAATTATTAGGGAAACTGATTTGAAGGCAACAGTAATTTCATTTGGAGAGGATATGGGTTTGGGTAAAAGGTAATGTCTTCCTATTAAACATTTTAAATGTAAAAGGGCATTCATTTTCCTTTTAAATAACATTTTAAAGCTTTATTTTGTGAGTCTTTGGGTAGAAACCATTATTTTCTTTGTATCTTGTATTAGTGCACTGTCATTTCTCAATAATTCATTTGCCACTTTTACTTCTTTTTCTGTGTGTGCTGAAGATATGTTGACATTTTTATTTAAATAATAGCACAGGAATAACTGTGATTTTTTTGAGCACTTATTTTTGAGACTTAGGGAGTATTTAGTCACCTCTACAGACAGAGCCTGCGAAAAGTTTAGTATCTATAAAACTGGAGTTGAAGTGGACCCTTCAGGTTTATCTCATTCAACCTCTGGAGTTCATTTCCTTTTGCTTGAGTACTTCTGAAGACAAGGAACTCACAATTTCACTAACTTAAGTCATTTTGGTTAAGCCTTTCTACTTGTTGGAAAGTCTGTTTCTTGTATTAAGCGATCATAGGCTCCTTATAACATTTACTCACCGATCATAGTCCTGTGCTTGACACGTAGAAAGCACTCAGTACATGTCAGTTAGTGAGGCAGCGAGTAAACGAATGAATGAATACCCTGAAATAAGATTCAAGTTCTGCAGGGAACCCACAGGGTGACCCAGCTTGCGAGCAGCCACTTGCTTCACTTTGGATTTCCCCTCATTGTCAGGAAATTCTATTCCCGTTTCTGATGTCTATAGAAACGACTTCTCTGACTACTTGGGATTTCTATGGAGATAACTTCTCTGACCATCTGACTGAAGTTCTTGCAAGGGGTACCTTGGAAAAGCCCTGCTATCCTTGTCATTGTGTCATCAATATGGAACGGGGAATGGGGAAGACGTAGCGAACCACTGGAGTTACTTTTCCTTCAATGTTTTTAGACTTTTAAAGGAAGTGGTATGTGCTCCATTAACAGCCAGAAGTTTTGACACACTCAGCTTCCTGTTTCCTTGCTTATTCTTTTAAGTTCTTTCTATACGTATGGCATATGGGCTGATAATAGCCCTCGTGAACTTTTTGAACCTATCTCATGTTACTTGTGTATCTGTCTTCTCTTCCCCACCCCCACCACAAAAGTGATGTGGTTCTTAGGGACAGGGATGCCGTTTGATTCATTTTTACTGACATGTGTTTAATAGGTGCTCGGTAAATGTTGAATCAATATCTTTTCACTAGTTGAATTTTCAGGTATAACACCTCATGTCCCCCTGTTCTAGCCCCAAAAGTCCAATTTTTCTGAATTTAATATTCTTTTCCTCTTTTCTCAATTTTTAGTCATTCTCTTCTCTTCTGGATGATTTCTAAGTTCCTGCTTCAATTATAGAGCACATAGAAATGATAATTGAATAAAGATCTGCTCAATATTGCTTCAATTCTTAACACTCTTTTTCATTCTACTTTTATGTGTTCTTTTTGAAAGTTTCCTCATTCATGATACATATCTCACAGGATTAATAAAGCAATGTATGTAAATTTTGTAGCTCTTTTCCAAACTCTTTCAGAATGCTTTCTAACGTCTGATCTCTTTTCTGTGTAACTTTTTTTTGGTAACTATTTTCTCTTTATATTACATCTCTAGTTACATCTAATTGAATTACATTCAATTTCAAGTTGGTGAATTGAAATATTTGGTAGCCTGGGATATCCATTTAGGAGAACTATGATTAATCATTTAAAAATTGTACTTTATAGAAAATACCTGAATGAGATGTTTTTACCAAAATAAATATTTTTAAATGTTTATTTTTGAGAGAGACAGAGTGAGCGAGCGGGGAGAGGCAGAGAAAGAGGGAGAGAGAGAGAATTCGAAGCAGGCTCCAGACTGTCAGCATGAAGCCCGACATGGGGCTGGAACCCACAGAGTGTGAGATCATGACCTGAGCCAAAATGAAGTTGAATGCTTAACTGACTAAGCCACCCAGGAACCCCAACTTTTTATTTTTATTTCCAAGAATTATTGTCTTTTAATCAGTTCAAGAGCCCTTTTTATGTGTGGTTGAAAATGAGAGTATTTGGAATCATAATTCAATAGTAGCAATTTGGTTCTTTATATATAAGGTAAATTATACAAATCCAGGGATTGGATTTTTAATCTTCATGCAGATTTTATTTTTATATAATGATTGAATTAAAATTGCTTTTATTTTTTTTTTAAATAAGCTTTCTTATACCTCCTTCCGCCACAGTCTGGAGTGGGGGAAGCAAGTGACAGAAGGCTTATTAGAGAAAATAGTATTTCAACCTGAGACTTGAAAGTTCAGTAAGATTTATTCAGATAAATTGAGGATAAGGATGTTGGAGGTAGAAGTAGGTTATGTTGCTATAATTAATGTTTGATCGTGAATAAGTTTCTCAAATGTATTTTAAGTCGTGCATCTAAGAGAAATACTCACAGTAAAAAAAAAAAAAGAAAAGAAAGAAAGAAAGAAAGAAAGAAAGAAAGAAAGAAAAGAAAAAGAAGCCAGTAAGTGTGGTTAGTTTTGTGAGTATTTAATAGAATTTATGAAGAGTATTCTTTTATTCCTAAGAATCTATTTCTATATATTTAGTAGACTAAGGCTTATACACTTCACACAGCTCTGTATTTCTCCTATAGATGAATGCTTTTTTGTTCATTCATTGCTTAGGCCATCGTATCAAAAATTTTTTAAATGCTTTCAGTATTACTTAGAGTAGAAATCTGTGTAATCATCTAGCATCTATCATGTGCTAGACAAAGTGTGACTATGTGCTGTGATGGGTGAAGGAAGAGGCCGAGAGAGACTATAAGCACAGGCACCTGAAACCATCTGGGGTGAGCGACCAGGAACAGAAGGCTTAATAGAGGTGAAGGTCTGAAAGGTGAATAAGGTGTATTCAGATAAAGTAGGAGTAAGTATGTTGGGGTTGGGAGTAGAGCATGGAGAGTATATTCCGGGTAAAGAGGGTAATGTATTTAAATATGTGTGTTAAAGAGGGAACTATGAACGATGAAAGCTATAGTAAAGCTATCAATTATTGAATGATTATTATCATTATTAGGTCACTGTTCCAAGCACTTTACATCTTTAATCTTTATAACAACCACAGAAAGGAGCTATTATTATTATTATTCTACTTGTGTTGACTGGATGGGATGTAACTGTACATTATCAATAATGTAATATATAGTTCTCTTCTTTTCTCCTCTCTTGGTCTAAGTTTTGGAGCTTAGGTATTATTTTATTTTGCTTTCAGTGAGTTAGAAGTAGCCTAAAGGCATATTTTAGTAAAAAGACCAAAAAATATTGGCATTTTACCTTGGTGTTAAAAAGAAGGATTTACTAAAATATGGTATATGTGGATAATCAATTCATGACTGACTATTAAAAAGAACTCCTTTTTTCAAGTTTACAAGAGATCTAGGGGATAGATCTTACTGTGAAAAACCAGTAAGACAAATCCATATCGTGACACATTCTAAAAGATAACTGGCCTGGAGTCCTCAAAAAAGTCAATATCCTGAAAAAGAAAAGGACAAAGAGACTCTAGATTCAGCTACATGGAAAGAGACATAACAACCAAATGTAATGTGATGCATACATTTTCAATGGATTCTGGATTTTAAAAAACTATAAAAGATATTTTGGGGACAACTGGAAAAGTTTGAATGTGGGCTGAATAGTATGTGATATGAAATATTATTGCTAATTTTCTTAGGTGTGATAGTGGTATTCTGTTGATGTAGGAGAAGGTTCTTATTAGAACATTCATGCTGAAGTATTTAGGACTGAAATGTCATGTTAGGAAAAATTACAGTATAATAATTTCTATAAAGTTTTATTTTCACTAGGTTATTAATGGGATTTCTGAGTATCAAACGTTTACAAAATACTTAAATGTAATTTACCTTTTTATTATCTGCTATTTTTTCTTAAAATGTTTATCACCCTATGACTTGCTGATTTCTTCCTCTTCTCCTTTTTTTTTTTTTTTTTTTTTTTTTTTTTTTTTTTTTTTTTTTTTTTTGATCTGTCCTCATTTCCATCTTCCTCTAGAAAGTCAGTTCCGTGAGAACTGAGACTTTCTGTTCATGGCTTAATTCACAGCACCAAGGGTAGTATCTGGCACATAGTAGGCAGTAATTAACATTTGTTGAGTGAACTAATGAATGAAGATAACCAATCTCAACCAACCTTACCATTTCTATATAACTCATAATATCTTTCATTTGTTAAAAATTCGTTTTGGTATTGTTAACCAGAAACAATAATGAGTTGTTCTCTATATTTCAGGGAAGTTGGGAAAAAAGAATTTTGAAGAGTTTAAATAGTATGTGCACTGAACTGAGTATCCCATTGGCACGAAAGGTACTTTTATTTTTATTTTTTTTTCAAAAGGTACTTTTAATATTTAAATATTTTATTGTGAATCGAGTGCTAGAAGTACCACGAAGTTGTAATTGTTAGGCAGATTTATCTCTCTTTAAACAGTATATCAGTTTGTTTTGAAACAAAAATCTGTAAAAGGCCAATTACGTGGATGTACTGTATATAGATTTCTATTATATAGGCTGTAGTACTTTTTGTAATGAACATATCTTGAGAATAAATAAAAATACAATATATAATCTACGTATAGATTATTTAGAGATTTGGCTGTAAAGGTTATACATGTTATAAATGCACTTGAAAATTTTTAATTACCTTTGGTCTCCTTATTTTTGGCTAATCAGCACAATAGCCATATGTTTTGAATACGAGATGGAGTTTAGGCATGTTATCCTCTTATAATAGCCAATATGGTACCATCTTTCAGTGTTAACATAGGGAATGGAAGGATGATTGGTCATCTCTCTGCAGAACTATTTAGTTCTAGTAGTAGTATCATTAGATCTAAAAGATCAAATTCTCAACATTTGTCTGTCACTGTGGGCTTTGAGGGGGAAGATAAAAAGGGAGAGAAAAGCTACTCGAGGAATGCTCTGGATTCTTTTTGGCTGCTCACGAGTAGGAGAGAAGAAGTTTCTCTTCACTTTATTTTCCCTACCTGCTATTTATTCCTTGCTAGTAGACAGGATATAGTGGATGAACTTTAGATAAGGACATGTCATGGAAGGCACCAGAAGGATGGTATTTTAAAAAAGGATAAATTTCTGTGGAAAACTGCCTAAGTATGTAGTATTGTGTAATATACTGTCTTTCATGTAGGAAGATGATGCTACTGACCCACAGTCATACTCTCTTGGCCAGTCCCCCTTGCGATGCATTTCTGAGGTTGCTGGATGGGGTAAGAGATGTAGTATGTGGCTAAGGAGCAGTTTTTCTTTATGAAATTTACTGGCCTATAGAGATCATTTCTCTTCTTTTCTTGGACTCTTTAGCACCATATTCTAACTGAGCCATTGAGACTAGATATAATATCATAGTTAAATAACAAAAGTTTAAGAATAATTCCAAAAAAAGTTCACCATGTGCAGTGAAGTGATTTTTTTCTTATGTTATGGTAACTTATTCAACCTTTTAGATAAGTTATTGATTCTTATTTTTCAGCTGCATTGCTAAGCTTCACAAAATGAAACCAATTTTAAAATTACCTTTTTTAGAGGCCAGTTGGAGAACAGAAAGAACTTCTCAATAAATGGAATGAAATGGGAACTGATGAACCAGGTATATGAACAACCTTTTTCAAAATCTGGTAGTAGGAAAGATTGCCTTCTTAATTGTGGATCCAAAGCAACAATATTAGCAATTCTTTTGGAAAGATAGCCATTTTCCTTCCCCACTAATTACTGTCATCTACTTTGTTTGCTTAAACTTCTACCGTGCAGTTTAAAAATCCCTATCTTTGGGGGCACCTGGGTGGCTCAGTTGGTTAAGCGTCCAACTCTTGATTTTGGCTCAGGTCATAATCTCACAGTTCGTGAGTTCAAGAGCCACATCAGGCTCTGTGCTGACAAATTTTTTTTAATTCCTAACTTTCACCAGTGTTTTATAATATTTTGAGAATATTTAAGTCAATTATCCTTTTTAAAACAGCATTTGAAAACATTTTTATAAAAGAATAGATTAAATCATTCAATGGATTTCTTAGATTCGTAATTAAGGTAAATATTTTTCAAGCTTTAATAACATTGAGATGTTAAAAATAGGTTAAGTGGTAAAAAGTTTTGAGACTTCTAAAATGTTTTTAAGAATTTATTTTGGCTCATTTTAATGGTTAAAATAGAGTCAATTTTATAAACATATAATGGGTGGCATCTATGTCTCATTTACTGTGATCAATAGATGCATAGAATTGTATTGGTAGACATGTACATAATCCCTCACCACTCCTCTTTAAAAATAAGCATGGCGAACCAGGCAAGAAATAAGTACTGTAATAGAGAAAGCAGTGTGTTATAGAAATTCAAAAGGGAGAACAGTTTAATACAACTAGAGGAATTCACTAAGAGTGTATTATTTGTATTCTAGGTACTTTGAGAATTCTCATATAGAACTTTGTTATACTGACATTGTGTTTTCAATTCAGTTATAAATTTATTATAAATTTATGAGGGTAGACACTTAATTTCTTCTAGAATAGGTCATTTAGGCCGTCAAGGGAAGAGATTGCCCTTTCATTTTTGTGTTCCCAGTACTTAACACAATGTATGACAAATTATTGATACTCCGCAAATGTCTGAATTAATACAGCTCCACGGCCACATGTGAAAGAATCATTAACATTGTTATTAATAAGGATTCTTATATTAACTGAAATGTTGTTCCAATCTATCTTAATTCCAGATTTAAGCCTTTTCAGACCTGTTTATGCACCCAAGGATTTTCTGGAGGTAGGTTGTATTGGATCAATACAGGTATATTAATGGGAATAAAGTGGAAGAAATGATATGAGGATGTCTCCAGGCAGAGGAATCACCAAGGACAAAGCCCTAGAACCGTAGAATGACATGATCAGATTTGTGCTTGAAAATTGCTTTTGGAAAATACACTGGAATGTGGAAAGATTAGAGGCAAGTAAATCAATTAGGAAGATTTTGATTAAAAAATACTAACTGTAAATCAGGTAGCTTGTAAATCAGGTAGCCTGCTGCCTAGCACCTATAGATGCTCAGTGAATCTTTTCCCTTTTTAGTCCTTCCCTGTTCTAGTAGTTTAGACAAGACACGAAAAAGGTCTGAACTAAAGAACAGTGTTGGAACTGGATAGAATTCAACAGATTTGCAAGGGATTTTTAGGAGGGTTTGGGAACTGATTAGATGTGGGGAGTATGAGAAAAAGAAAAGATAATGAAGATCTTTAAGTGTCTAGATTGGGTAACTGGGCAGAGAGGTACTACGTCCTTGGGATAGAGAATGCAGGAGAAGGAACAGGTCTGTTAATAAAGATGATGAGCTTAATTAAGTTTGAGAAAGCATATCGAAAATAAAGTAGGTTAGAGCTCACTAATTATTTTAACGGACTTACCTTTGATTCCACTCTTTCTCTTGTACCTTACACGTAATCAGCAAATCCTGTCACTTTACCTTCAACATGTATCCGGAATTCAACCACTCCTACCTCCATCCTCCTAATGTCTTCCTGCTCTACCCTTGCCCACCTAGAATTTGTTCTCAGTGCAGTTTCCAGAGGAAGCCATTTCAGTACCATTCCAAATAAGCCATCTCTGGTATCCGGCAGCTTCCCATCTCATTCTACTTAAAAGCCAAAGTCATGACAGTGGTGCGAAACATGCTATTTGATCTGATACCCCATTACTTCTCTGAGTTCATCTCCTATTACTTTCCCCTGATTTGTTATACTCCATTTATTTTAGCCTCCATGCTTCCCCCTGGCTTCCTGCCATCTGAGGGCCTCCACTCCTCTTCTCTGCTTACAGTGCTTTTCCCCCAGATACTTGTCTGCACGTTCCTTCACTCCTTATGTCTTTGTTTAAATGTCACTTTCTCAGCAAAGCCTTCCCCCGCGGCTCCCTGCTTGGAACTCCTTTTAGCCTTTTCCTACTTTGTTTTTCTTTATAGCATTTATCATTATATAACATATTCTTTTTCTGTTTTCCTTATTGCCTGCCTTCTCCTATTAAAAGTAAGATTCACGGGGCGCCTGGGTGGCTCAGTTGGTTAAGCATCCAACTTCGGCTCAGGTCATGATCTCGCGCTCTGTGAGTTCAGCCCCGCGTTGGGCTCTGCTGACAGCTCAGAGCCTGGAGCCTGCTTCAGATTCTGTGTCTCCCTCTCCTAGCCCTCCCCCATTCATGCTCTGTCTCTCTCTGTCTCAAAAATAAATAAACGTTAAAAAAAAAAAAGTAAGATTCACAAGGGCAGGAGCTTCTCATTCTGTTGCACTATTGCAACAGTTACAGAGTCTGATAATTGAAGACTCCACAAGACTTCACAGGATGCAGCCACAGAAGGCATTCTTTCAGCAAGAGAAAGAAAGCACATGCAAATACGAAGAGATCCAAACTTCTAGGCTCAGCTCCCAGGGCTCTTTCTCAGTTGCAGAGGATGAGCTTTGTCTTTGGAGTAGGAACCGCTAAGAGACAAGTGAGATACACTGGTCTTGGGAGTCAAGGCGCAAGGAAGGTTTCCCAGGGGTTTTTATATCCCCACTGGTAAATCAGGAGAAGCTAGCAATCTGTGCATTTTCAATAAGCAATGTGAAACTGATATGGACTGCCTCCCTGGGACATTAAGTAGCACATTATAAATGACTAGTTCGTGTATTTCATCCCATCTTGGCCAAGGGTCACCACCAGACATCCAGGTGTCCCTGGAGATAAGCATGGAGCTACCACAAACCAGCTGCAGGTTAATTGCTCTATCTCCAACAGATAGAACGGTGCTTAGCACATAGCTGCTCAACAAATAGGTGCTGAATGAATGAGTAAATGAATGAATGAGTTTTTCACATTTTACTTTTATTTCTTTTCTGAACTGTTGTCTTTGAAACTAGTTTGCCAGCATAAAATATACAGTTGATGCTTGAACAACACGAGGGCTCTGACCCCCTGCATGGTCAAAAATCCACATATAACTTTTGACTCCCCCCAAACTTAAGTAGCTAAGTACTACTGTTGACTGGAAGTCTTACTGATAACACAGCCAACACATATTTTGTATGTTAATATGCATTATATACTGTATTCTTACAATAAGTGTGCTAGAGAAAAGAAAATATTAAGAAAGGCATAAGGAAAAGAAAATACATTTACGGTACTGTACTGTTAAAAGTCTGCATTTGAGTTGAAGTTCAAACTTGTGTTGTTCAAGAGTCAACTGTCTTCTTTTAATTCTAAAGAGAAGTTAGTTTGGTCAGAAACTGCCTTTATGGTGATGGCATTATTTCTCTTAGCTTGTTAAAGATTTCTCCCAAACTCTTCCCTTTTCTAGCACTTCAGGGCTGAAATTTCATGTAATTTTTGTATGACTATCTTTAACTGTTCTCTCCTTAATGGTCATAACGTTCTGTTTCTTTCGGGACTGTTGATGAATTGATCCTTTTATTATTTATGCTGAAATTCTTCTTTAACTAAAGAACATTTTCTATAATCATATCTGTATAGCTTCTGCATTTCTAATATTTTCTCTTTTCTATTACCCATGTGTTCATAGTTTCCCTTTCCTATCCTACGTGTGTGAGGTTTCTGTGCAGTATGATACACGATTTATGTTATTAGGCTAAAATTGCATTGTTCCCTATTAGTCTGCATTTAGCGCTGTTGACTCTTTGCTATATTTGTATTTTTTTTTTTTTTAACAAATACTATTGACATTTTTAGCCTTAATTTAGTGCTTGCAGTTTTGGGAAACTGTTTTGGCATTTTAGCACATTCCATTTTATCAGTGATTAGTTATCAGCTCATTAATTCCTTCCTCAGATGTGATAGTGTTTCTGTCACCATAATCTCCTTTGCTGTATTCTTTTTATTTTTTTTAAGTTTTTTTTTTTTAAATTCGGTTAATTAACACACAGTATAATATTAGTTTCAGGTATGTCAAGTAGAGAGCAGCACTTCCATACAGCACTCAGTGCTTATGACAAGTGCAGTCCTTCACCCCATCACCTACCTATTTACGTCATGCCCCCACCCGCCTCCCCTCTGGTAACCATCAGTTTGTTCTCTGTAGTTAAGAGTCTGTTTCTTGACTTGCCTCTCTCTTCTTCTTTCCCTTTGCTCCTTTGTTTTGTTTCCCAAATTCCACAGACGAGTGAAATCACATGGTATTTGTGTTTCTTTGACTGACTGACTTCACTTAACATAATACGCTCTAGCTCTGTGCATGCCATTGTACTGGATGCTTGATTTTTTTTTTTCTCAAGAGTTTCAATTTAAAAATATTTTTTATTATAATTATTCTTTCCCCGAAATGTATGTTATTGTTAGAAAAACAAGAAAATATGCATAGGGAGAAAACTTTTAAAAAATTACCTTTAATGCCGTCACATAGCAAAAACCATTACGTTACTACACATTCTTTAACTTCATATATTGTGAATATTTTTTCATGTTATTATATATATTTCCTGTGTTAATAGAGGCAAATTACATTATATTTTATTGTATGAATTAACCACAATTCATTTAAGTAACTCCCTCTAATGGAATGTTTAAGTTGTTTCACATTTTTCTGTAATAAATAGTACTTCATTAACATTCTTTCTGCACTGTCTTTGCAAACATCTTAATTATTTGTACTTATAGAATTATTTGTACTTAATTGTACTTACAGAAGTGCAATTCCTACATAAAGGATATGTAAATACCTAAGACTTTTTTGACCTGCCTAATTTTAAAAAGTATATAAATTGTTAGTTTGGCTTCTGAATTTTTTTCTCCTTGTGGGTTTGATTTAGAGGCGATACTCTGCAATATTATTCTACTATTTTTCTAAAAATCTTGTCAATATCTGTTTTTTCAAAGGGCTAGAATTGATTCTGAAATTTTTTCTGGCAAATATTACAATCAAGCAATTTTGATCTTTCTGTCACCTTCCCTGGTTAAATATTCAAGCAGCTTTGATTTTTTATTACCATCAAAATGTTTTTCATTCTAACTAAATTCTTTTAGACTTTTATATGGTAGATCATCAGAATATTAAATTTAAGGCATGTTTATGATATTTTAACATTTCAATATAATTTTATAGTTTTTTAGAATGTAATTAAAGTACATACATAGCCCCAAATAGTTTTTAATTTTGTGGTGATACACCAAGAATATCACTGCCAATTTTATAGGTGTAAACATCCTATAAAGAAACTAACCAATTCTGTTGGATTTGTTTTTAAAGGTGTTAATTAATCTTCGCAACCCAAATTATGAAAATGGTGATTCTCTTAGTTTCAGGACTCATTTGGGTTTAATCCAAGTTCCTCTGAAAGTAAAAGACATCCCTGAATTGGTAAGTATCAGCATTTCAAAATATTGCATATTTTAGAAGACAACCATTAGAGAAACATTTTAGTGCTGCAAATATCTAAAACAATAGGGCTGTCTGCTCATTAAATAATGAAGTGAAAACTTCTTTTTTATTGTAAATATGTTATATAGAGAGTGAGTTACTTTGCTAGTAGGACTAAAGATGAGTTTTCATGCACTTATAAATGCTTTTGCTTTTTCCTCATTTTAATCAAAAACAAAGATTTATAAGACAGCTTGTTGGGATTTAGGTACATGATATATGACAATAAAATTGATTGAGGGTCGCCTGGGTGGCTCAGTCGGTTAGGTGTCTGAGTCTTGATTTTGGCTCAGGTCATGATCTCATGGTTCATGAGTTTGAGTCCCACATTGGGCTCCGTGCTGCTTGCACGAAGCCTGCTTAGGATTCTCTCTCTCTCTTTCTCTCTCTCTCTCTCTCTCTCTCTCTCAAAAATAAACTATTAAACTTAAAAAAAAACTGATTGAAATAAGTTGTGAATTTTATTAAGAATATTTAAAGAATGCACATTGTATTTAATTCAACCAACCTGTATTAAGCTTATCAAAATGAGGCACTGAAGGAGATAAAGGGAAAGGAAGATGAGTTAGAGACGGTCTTTGCTCTGGAAACTGTCACATTTTGGTGAGGAAGTTAGTTTTAAAATAGAGCAATTATAGAAAGGTGGGGAGAATTCCTGAATGGAGCTAAGAAATTATCACTCCTGGGGCACCTGGGTGGCTCAGTTGAGCATCTGATTCTTGATTTCAGCTCAGGTCTTGATCTCACGGTTTGTGAGATTGAGCCCCCCTCCCTGTCCCAGCCCAAGCTCTGCACGGACAGTGTGGATCCTACTTGGGATTCTGTCTCTGACTCTCTCTGCCCCTAGCCCCCTCGTGTGTGTGTGTGTGTGTGTGTGTGTGTGTGTGTGTGTGTGTGTGTTCATGTTCTCTCTTTCTCTCTCTCTGTCTCAAAATAAATAAACATTAAAAGAAAGAAATACGAAATTCTCACTCCTTCTTTTGTTAATCACCCAAAACAATAAGGAGCACAGAAATTTAAATACCGCCTTTGGTGAAACTAGCAAACAATGTGTAGCTCTGTTAGCGTGTCAGGTTGGAGAACTGGGGGGGAGAGTGGTACGTGGCTTAAACATGGAGGAAGGTCAAGCCCTACTGCGTCTCTCTAAGAGGTGGGAGGTGCGGGTGAGAGGCATGTCAATAATCACTCAGCTGTACATCTTCCTTGTTTTGTTTTGCTTTATTATGCTGGAGTTGGATCTTACAGACATTTTTCTTTCACTAACTGGCTTGATGTTAGGCTTTATCAATAGAGGGTTCTGGAGGGACACCACAAGACTGTAACCAGAGAAAGGAGCTTCCCTTGCGGTCCCTGTGTTCAGAAGCCAGCAGATCAGCATGCAGAAGCCAGCTCCAGACTGTACCCTCTGACGAGTTTCTTCACCAACCTCCCACCCCTGCACGCATTTCCTGGGGCAGCCATTTTCTTTCCTTGAAAGACTGAATCTCATGGAATCTAAAAAAGAAAACAAACCAACAAAAACCAGAAATAAACTCACAGATACAGAGAACAAACTGGTGGTTGACAGAGTGGAGGGGGATGAGGGGGTGGGCAAAATAGGTGAAAGGGATTAAGAGGTACAGACTTCTGGTTACAAAATAAATAAGTCACAGGGCTGAAAAGTACAGCATAGAGAATACAGTCAGTAATAGTGTAATGACTTTGTATGGTTACAGATGGCAACTACAACTTATGGTGAGCATTTCATAAAAAAAAAAAAAAAGTCTAAATCTCTGTCTTGAGGACAAGGAGAACCCTTTCCTGAGTTGTTGGTTCCCTTTTCATCAGTCTAGAAGTCATAGTTACTTTCTGCATCATCTAATTTAATTCTATTTTTCCCTGTTCACATTTCTGGGATGATTTCTATTTTCCGGCTGGATACTACTGACTGATAGAAGAAGCAAGATGATTTTCTCCATAGAACTTTGGAAAGCCTCAAGAACACCACATGATATAGAAAGCCTTGGTGAGCCACAGGGTTGAAAATGAGACTGTGTGAAAGTCTGTATCAGGAGAGAGTAGACCCCCATACTCCTACCAGCTTGCATATTCAGGTGACTTCTCCTTCCCCAATGGAGACCAGAGACAGGTTCTTTAGAGGAAAAGAATCATAAAGGCTAAGAATTTAGCCACTTCAGATTTAGAGCAGTACAAGAATGAGGCACTGTTTTGAAAACAGAGAAATTAAGTGAGAGTTGACCAAATGGTGGGCTAATATCCTCATCCGCTACCTCCATCACTATGCCTGCAATTCTCTCCCCCCCCTTGCATCTTATGCCCAATCCTTGCAGACATAGCTTCCAGTCAGTTGTTTATTGCCTCGTTCCTAAATATGACCTACCAGCCCAGGATCTGCAGATATTTGAAATTTTCCGACTTGAAAGGCAGACACCAAAACTAAAAAAAAAAAAATTGTTTTAAAGCCAGTTTAGGGAATGAGTACTTATCATGAGCTTTAATAATGGTTTCAGGTTTGAATTTATGTTCACACTCACAGGATACAATAGGTCATAACCTGGCGTCAGATTCACTTAGATTTGTAGAATAATACAGGGCAGAAAACAGCATGTCAGTATGTCAGGTAGCTTTTCTCCAGGAGTCCTTACAGCCAACCCTATGCTGCCTCCAGCCCCCACAAGGAAGGCAGGCAATTGTAAGTGACGAAATTGACTAGGTACAACAAAGGGACGTCTTACACAGGATAGGAACTGTTTCTTGTAATGCACGTGGGCATAGCATCCAGGGCCTCTCGAGACACCACAGCAGGCAGCTAAGGCCTGTGTTTTCCAATAGATTTTTATAGTCCACTCAAAGTCTTCTGTTTCAGATGTAATTTATCATCAAGGGTCATATTTTTTTCAGAAATTGCATTGCTTAGTAATGTAGCTGGCATTCCTAGCCACAATTCGTGTGTGTGTGTGTGTGTGTGTGTGTGTGTGTGTGTGTGTGTGTGAGAGTGTGAGAGAGAGAGAGAGAGAAAGAGAGAGAGAGCCAGCACATTTTCAGGGCAACAGTGCTGGGAGAAGGTAAACCCAAGGTCATCTTCACATGGACAAAGAGGTTAGCCTGTTAACCATTTCTTCCCAGTAGAAGATTTAAACCATTAATATTCAGAGAGAAGATACAACTCATGAAACAAGAATTACACAAGAACAGAGTTTCATTAAAACAACAAACGAGAATAAGAAAGAACTTTCACAGGGGCGCCTGGGTGGCTCAGTAGGTTGAGCGTCCGGCTTCAGCTCAGGTCATGATCTCACGGTTTGTGAGTTCGAGCCCCATGTCAGGATCTGTGCTGACAGCTCGGAGCCTGGAGCCTGTTTCGGATTCTGTGTGTCCCTCTCTCTCTGCTCCTCCCTTGCTCGTGCTCTGTCTCTCTCTCAAAAATAAATAAATAAACATTTAAAAAAATTAAAAAAAACTTTTATAAATCAAAAATATGGTATGCAAAAAAAATCAGAAGAGTCAAAAGCAAAGCTGAGGAAATCTCTATGAGATGAGGAACACAAGGAAAAAACCAAGGACACAAGGAAAAAAACCAAAGAGATGAAAAGTAAGAGGGAAATTTTTGTTTTTTCACTTAGATAATCAATCCAGAAGGGCTAAAATCTGACCAGTGGGAGTTCCAGAATGAGAAAACCGAAGTAATGGAATTATTAAAATCCCCAAGACGTGAAAGATAAGAATCTCCGGTATGAAAAGGCCCACCCAATGTCATGAATGAAAGAAGACCTGTATCAAGCCTCCTGAAAAGAAAACTAAAAACTTGTCATAGAAGGAAGACAGAATACATATAAAGTGTCAGAAATGAGAGTGGCATCTGACTTCCCGGCAGCAAAACTGGCAGTTAGAAGATTTTGAAATAATCTCTTTAACAATCCAACTGATTTCAAGCCAAGAATTCTATATATAACCAACAGTTAATCAAATGTGAAGTTGGAGTAGACATTTTCAGATATTTAGGTGATCTAAAATATCTACTCTTATTTGGGGAACTGTTGGTAGAAGTCTCCAAAACAAGCTCATAGATACAGAGAGCAAAGTAGGAGACCCAGAAACAGGGTTCCGACCTAAGAATTTCCAGGATGACAGTGACAAGCAGTTTCAGGACAAAGGGTGTGCAGCAGGACCAGAGCGATTCTAGATTGGAGCAAGAGGCTGGAGGGTTCCAGGATGACCACTTGCAAGAAAAGTTGGTACGAACTTGTTAGGTTTGCAAAATTATATGGTGGAGGATCTTTTCAGAGTTCTTGAAGGGTATAGGAAGAGATAAATGATTAGAGAAAATTATATTAGTGAAAAAAATGATTTCATTATCAGCTGCATGTACCAAAAAAAGTAAAATAAAGGAAACCGATTTATAGCATACGACACGGCTCAGCACTGAATAATATTTAAATAGTCATAATGCAAACTTTTAATATGGATTTAATCAAGAATTGATATATAATTATATTGGAACGTTGGACGGAGGAAAAGCGAATGTACATGAGCTAAAATACTTACAAGAAAAATCAATAGATACCTAAAATTGATAAGAATAGCAGTCTATATTTGTTAATTGAAATCTGGAGATAAATACCAGAAAAAAAGCTGAAAGTGGTTGTTTCTGGATAGTGGCCAGTTTGTGTGTGTGTGTGTGTGTGTGTGTGTGTGTGTGTGTGTGTGTGCGCGTGCGCGGGCACGCGCGGACACGCACATGCATATATTGGAGGAATTGTTGTTATATATTTTTTAGCTGACTTGACTTCTTAAACTATTTGCTGCATGTGAAGGCAGTATAGCATGATGGTTAGTTGATTATATTCTGAAGCTACCTAATTGGGGTTTAAGTTCTTGCTCTGCCCCTTACTGGCTATGTGACCTTGAATAAATTTTCTTGACCTTGAGCCTTAGTTTTCTTATTTGTAAAATAGGGATAATAATATCTCATAGAAGTATTGTGCAGATCAGTAAGTTAAGATCAAAATTATGGGTTGAATTGTGTGCCTCAAAAAGATATGTTGAAGTCCTAACCTCCAGTACTTGTGAATGTGACCTCATTTGGAAGTAGGGCCATTGCGGATGCAGTCAAGCTAAGAGGATGTCTTATCAAAATAGGGTGGGCCCTAACGCCAATATGACCAGGTTTTTATAAGAAGAGAAGAGACACAGAGGAGAGACATACAAGGAGAGTGTCATAAGACAGTGGAGGCAGAGATTGGAGTTACGCATTTATAAGCCAAGGATCACCAAAGATTGCCGGCAATACCAGAAGCTGAGAAAGGCTTGGAACAGATTCTCCCCTAGAGTCTTCAGGGAGAGCTTGGCCCTGTTAACACCTTGATTCTGGACTTCTAGCCTCTAGAACTGTGAGAAGACATTTTGTTGTTGAAAGCCACCCAGTTAGTGATACTTTTTTTTTTAATGGCAGCACTAGGAAGCTAAAATAATATATAAAGCATATAGACAGTACTTGGAACTTAGTAAGCAGTACATAACTATTAATCGTTAATATTACAACTTTGTTAAACAATTTTTAAGAAGTTATTTTTAAAAAGTGTTAGAAGTCCTTTTAGTAGCAGTTTATACAAAGTGTACAGAAAAGGAAGCGGCAGCTTCTTTTCCTGAAAGTGGTGGGAAGTCTCCATAGGGGTACTGCCATTTGGACTACTTTGAAGGAGTTTTCTAGGTAAAGAAGCAGGAAAAGGATACTGTATGAAAGGGTCAGCATGTGCATAAGTGGGACTAATTGTGTCTTCTGTCTGATGAGACCCAGAACTGATGTGGCTTCATTCTTAGCTATTGAACAACCAAAAACCTGTGGCTAATTTTCAAAAGAATTGTGGCTATACCCACTAAGAGTATGGTTAGTCCTTGTCTTCCTGCTCTCACTAGTTGTTGTTGCCCTCCCTGAGTCCTGCGGCCTGGCGATAACAATTCTGACTCGAGGTTTGGTTTATTTGAGACCTTGGTCTCTATATGAGTATTAAACTTGGTTGTGCTCACTGAGTCATACGATCCTATAATAGATGGCTTTCAAACCTAGTTCACAATGTTATGTAGTCTCATCCATGTTAAAACGACATTTCTTTTTTAAAACAACTTGAAGTGAAGTTGTCAAGTCATTCCTATTTACTGATTCAGTCACGTAGAGGCAACCGGTTGGAATAGAGCTCAGCGGTGTGGTTTATTCAGTATCATTGTTGAGCCCCTCTGCTACATGTCACTGAGCACTGTGCCAAGTACTGGGCGTGCAAATATGTATAAGAGACAGTCCTTATATTCTCGGAGCTTCAGGTTTGTGGGGAGATGAACAGTAACAAAATTATGTGATTATGTACTTTGCTAGAAGTTTATAAAAGGTAATACATGTATATAGAGCGTTGCTTATATCAGCCTGGAATATCAAGAAAGGCATTCCAGAAGGCCTAATACCCAGGGGGAGTTTTGAAAGAAATCTGAGATTAGGGCCCAAGTCTGGTGATGTTGAGTGAAAAGTAGTCCAGAGCAGTGAAATAGAAAATGGATATTCAGAGTTCTATTTCTGTGCCTTAACATGTCTTAGCAAAAGTAAAATTCTCCATTGTGATTACAGAAGGTAATATCGAAATGTTTTTGGACCTAAGTCCCTTCTCTAGAATAAAGATGAAGACTACTAAATAACCAAATACCTTATCATTAATTCTAATGATTTAAATGAAGGAAGAGTATTTACAATAAATAGAAGACAGTGGTTGAAAATGGATGAATAACATTACATTTTTGCCTCTTTAGTCATTAAAAATGGGACACATAAATTGAAGTCTAGATTAAAGACAAGTTTAGTTTGTCTTTACAACTTGTCTAGATTAAAGCCAAGTTTAGTTAAAAATTGAGGTATAACATCAGTTACATAAAATCAGTACAAAAATGAAACGAGTGTGAATGTTAGGCTGGATAACTGTCTTATGAGGGACACAAATAAATCACTATTTAAGTAATACATAATTATAAAGGATTAAAACTAATTCCATTTTTTAAAGAAGGAAGTTTGGTTTTAGCAATTAGAATGGTAACAAAACACTGAGGCAAATGTTAATAGAAATATTTAATTACTTAGGGAGTAAACATAACGTGAACAATATGGGGTTGTGTTATTTAAAAAATAACAGACAAACATGATTACTTTCACTAGACATTACTAGATAAGTGGAGGAAGTCTGGAGAGTAAATCTGATTTATTTTTAGTTTAGCAGAACACTTGATAGTCTAATTTTACTTAAAAATTAATTTAAGTTGTTTTGGATATTTGCAGTGTTTAGTTGATTAAAAGCAGAATGAAGTACAGTACCACAGAAAACACAGGTAGAGAATCATATTGGTAATTTTAGATGATGAATTTAGAAATAAAATTGATGAATTCTACACATATTGTGTGTTTGTGTTTGAGGAATGATTTTAATGTTATTAGTTCTTTACTCACAAGTATAATTATCATGTCTTTACTGAATCATCTATTACTTAAAAAGGCAAAATTTTGAACTAATGCATCACTACTGAAAAGTGCAATAATATCCTTTTTTAGATATTTAAATGAAGCAAAAATGCATTTTACATTGTGATTTTTTATTGAAGCTGATGTTAAGATGAGGTGACTTTTGTTTCTACTGTATGACAAACCACTGAGATGTATGTTAATTCTATGTGTGTTATTTTCCAGAAAGAATTCTTTGTAGAATTGGGCTTAACTACAGGACAGCTGGGTATAGATGATTCTACACAAGTGCCTCCTGGTGAGTGTTGCTCTCAGATGGCATATAATTAATGATAAATGAGAGTCAGTTTAAGGCTCATCTTTTCATTTCCAAATTAACCTAGTAACTCTTTTACGTCTGAAAACTAAGCATACTTTGTGATTCTCCTTGATTATTGTTAATTATTGAATAGAACTCTGTATGTTGCAATGATCAGAATTCAGCTAGATTTTGTATTTTTGTTTGAAGGTCTTTAAAGTAATTTTTGAAAAGTCATTAGACATATATAAGTCAGTTTTTTTGGCAAAATCCTCATTGGCAGCACTCATATTTACATTTACTGGCCATTACCATCTATTTTTATTTTTTGTATCATCAAGTTAATTGAATACTGATATTCTACCTAGTATAAATTTAGGGTATAAAATTAGTATCTTTTAAATATTAACCAAACAGAAAATTTCCTTAGCTTTTATTTTTTTGTGTGCATAATACAATGTGTTTTTCATAAAAGATCGGATTGGTATTTAGCTATAATCAACAGGAAGTAAAAATTGACTTAAAATATGGGAGGCCCATCTTGTGGAATTGTTCTAGTCTTTCCTCTGCACTGGCTAGCTGTGTGACTTGAACAAGTCACTTTACGTTTCTGGACTTGCTTCTTTCTCTATAAAATAAGGAATTTGGCTATTTCTTATTGTTAATAATAATTATAAACCTAATAAACAGTCATCGAGTACATTACTATGTGCTGCATGTGTATTATCTCATTTTAACCCTAGCAGCTCTAGAAAGTATGTATTATTACCATTTTTAAAACTTTATTAATGTACAATGCATATAGAAAAGCATAGGGGGTGCTTGGCTGGCTCAGTTGGTAGAGTATATGACTCATGATCTCTGGGTTGTGAGTTCAAGCCCCATGTTGGGGGTAGAGATTACTTAAAAAATTTTTTTAAAAAAAAAGAAAGAGAAAGTACATATACTATAAGAGAATGGCTCGTTGGATTTTTATGATTTGGGCACACCTATTAAAATACCACCCAGATCAATATGCTGAGGCCCCCTTCAGTCTTTATCCTCTTTGTCAAAAATAACCACTATTCTGATTTCTAGCAGTATGGATTAATTTTGCCAATTCTTGAACTTAATATGAATGGAAGCATATAGTATCTACCCTTTGATGTTTGACTTCTTTTGTTCAATATTATATTTGTGAGATTCAACCATATTGTTTTATGTATTCGTGGGCCATTTTGTTTTGCATGATAGTCGTTCCACTGTATTAACATACCACACATTTATTTATCCCTGCTACTGTTGATGAGTATTTGGGAAGTTTCAGGTTGGCGGCTGTTACAAACAAGGCTGCTATGAACATCCTAGTATGTTCCTTTTGGTGAGCACGTGTATACTCCTCTGTTGAATACACACCTGAAAAGGCAGTTTCCCTCTCCCGAGGTTCGCATAAATTCATTTTTAGTAGATAACTGCCAAAGAATTTTCAAAACTGGTAGTACCAGTTTATACTTCCACTAACAAGGTACGAGAGTAGAAGCTGGCTCATATGTTTGCTAATGCTGGATGTATTCCATCTTTGTTTTAGTTATCCTAGCGATATATAGTAGCACTGCATTATGGTTTTAAATTTTTTAGTATTGTGTAAGGTAGAAGTATTACTATCATTTTAAAGTTAAGAAGTGAAGATGTTAAGTACTTGCCCAAGTTCACAAAGCTAATAAGTGCTGGAATCAAGATTCAACACTAAGCGGTCTGCCTCCAAAGTCTGCTGCCTCCCCTCCTGATCCCTTTGATAGTCTTTTCTTATTTTGTAAGAAGATATCAGACATCTTACAGAATAAGATATTGCTATGGTTTGAATGTTTGTGTCCTCCTGAAATTCATATTTTGAGGTCCTAACCCCCAAGGTGATGGTACTCGGTGAAGTCTCAGGAAAATGGTTAGGTCAAGAGGGTGTGCCCTCATGAATGAGATCAGTGCCCTTGTAAAAGAGCTCTCTAGCCCCTTCCACCATGTGAGGACACAGAGAAAAGTCAGCAGTCTATAGCCCAGAAGAAGAACTTCACCACAACCCATCATGCTGGCACCCTGATCCTGGACTTCTAGCCCCTAGAACTGTAACAAATAAATTGCTGTTGTTTATAAACCAGTCTGTGGGTTTTTTGTTGTAGCAATCTGAACAGATTAAGGCAGATATCCTATATTTCTGTTCATGGCCAGTGATAGCCATATACAACAAAAGGAAAAGGAAATAATAATACAGCCTTGAGTGATATTTATGTTTTTTACTTTTAAATTATCCTTAAGAATTGCTTAAAGTTGTTCTAAACTCTATAGTAGCTATGCTTTAGAAGACCCAATATTTTTCTTAATCTAGAGTATAGTTCTTTCTTCTTTGATTCACAAACGTGAGACCCTGCTAACGGCCAGGGACTAGTGAACACATAGATATGACATAATCTTTACTCTTAGGGAAGGTATAGTAGAAATACAGATATAGATAAGACTCAGTGTGGTATTTGCTATTCTTGCATACAAGGGGCAGTTGGAGCAGAGGAAGGAGCACTTATATCTGCCCAGAGGAGATTGATAATCTCTTTAGTTGATGCATTTATTTTTACTCTCTACTTCTCAAAGCAATACTGCTAGAAATTGGATTAAATTGGTATCTATCCAATGAGATTGATTTCAGTGATATAGTACTTGGATTTTTACATGATTTGAGAATTGCTAACCAACAGTATTACTTAGAAAGAAGAACAGGGTTATAGATAACTACTTTTGCCTAGAATTCATTGGTATTTTTAATGTTTTGGTCTATGTCTGTGGCTTTGGTCAAACTGGAACTGTGCTGCTAACGGTTTGAAATATTGCCAATACTTGTGTCTGGCTAGAGGCAAGTTTTATATTTAGGATTAGGTGTACTCTGACTTATAATTTTTTTTTTTTAATTTTTTTTTTCAACGTTTATTTATTTTTTTGGGGACAGAGAGAGTCAGAGCATGAACGGGGGAGGGGCAGAGAGAGAGGGAGACACAGAATCGGAAACAGGCTCCAGGCTCTGAGCCATCAGCCCAGAGCCTGACGCGGGGCTCGAACTCATGGACCGCGAGATCGTGACCTGGCTGAAGTCGGAGGCTTAACCGACTGCGCCACCCAGGCGCCCCTGTACTCTGACTTAAAGACACTATATCCGTCTTTAAAAACCTGTGTCACCTATGTTTTATCAATACTCTTAACTCAATTTTCATATTTGAGGTACATATCCTACTTACTAGCTTAACAACTTTTACATAAATAAGAGTCAGGAGAAAAATACTTACCTTCATAATATGGAATCCAGATTTTAAAATAATCTAAAGTTAGACATGTCCATTATTCCTACAAACTCTCATGAATATTCATTACTTTAAATACACATATGTACACATCTACATACTTAAAATGGAAACCATGTAGAAGACTCATGCTAGAAGGATAAGCAAGATCAATACTCTTTCATAAGGCTTTTTGATAAGGGGGGGTCATGTGTTTGATATTATTGCCTGAATATACATACTAATGAACTTATGAGATGGGATTTTGCTGAATAGACATTTTCAACAGTTTATTATTTCTAAAAGAAAAAGCAGCTTTAGTTGGCTTAGCATTTTCTGAAGTGTGTTCCATGAAGCATTCATCAGATAGATGTCCTGTGAAACAGAGGATCTTACTGCTAAATAAGGTTTGAGAAAGGCTGTGTCATATACATTTTTAAGATCTTTAGTTTGTGTCACTATCTTTAAGACTATGAGAAATCCTGGGGCGCCTGTGTGGCGCAGTCAGTTAAGCGTCCGACTTCAGCCAGGTCACGATCTCGCGGTCCGTGAGTTCGAGCCCCGCGTCAGGCTCTGGGCTGATGGCTCAGAGCCTGGAGCCTGTTTCCGATTCTGTGTCTCCCTCTCTCTCTGCCCCTCCCCCGTTCATGCTCTGTCTCTCTCTGTCCCAAAAATAAATAAAAAACGTTGAAAAAAAAAAAAATTTAAGACTATGAGAAATCCTAAGTAAACTTCTAGCTTAGAATCTCCCCAACTCATTTCACCAGAGCACTTTTTTTCCCAAGCAAGATTTACTAACATAGATGTATTTATTAACGTAGTCAATAACAGCATAACAAGCATTTTTTAAGTAACGGATTGGAAATTCTGGTTCTGACTTTTTTTGGCTTCTCATTCTTAGACTAGAAAATAGCACTTACAAAGCAAAGTCATTGTATGTCACATGATTGGATAGTTAAATTCTATAAAGAAGTTTTTTAAAATTTTTATTTCCTACTACTTTTAGTGATAAAGCACTATTACCATCCAGTAGTGTCATCCATTTTTACAAGAGACAAGAATTGGCTGACAACATTTGCTTCTTTGGTCACTGAGCTTTGACAGTTAGAAGCTAATGGCAGCTAATTAAAATGAAACTGGTATTGTTATTTTATATACAGGCTTTGGAGTAAATATATTCAAATACTTTAGTCATAGAAAATGGTTGTGTGTTGGCAGTCATCCCAAACGCTTTACTTGGTCATTGTATAATCTGCTCAACCTCAGAGCCATTAGGAATAAAATAAACTAAAAGAATACTCTGCTTCAAATATTGTATTTAGTAAAACCAGCTTTATGGTAATTTTTTAAATCTAAAAAAAATATCTAACACTGAAAACATTAACACATGGAAGAATGAAGTAGAGTACCATTTTATATTGGTCAGCTGGGCTGACCCCGGGGATCACAGAACAGGCTTTTTAGAAAACTGCGTTAAAATATGAGGCCAGGACAGGTCTCCCTCTCCCTCAATGCCCAGGTCTGGCCACCAGCAGGCCACTGAGTTCAGATAAGAGCTCTGAAGTGCTAAGCACGAGCATTCTGCTCAGGAGGGAATCAAGTGCCAAGATGGTCACCAGGTTGCCGGGAGACCCAGGTTCTACTTACCCAGACAGTCACTTGTTAAGTTCATGACCCTTAACACACCATTATCCCATTTGTGAGAAAAGGCGAACTAATCACTGTTGTAAAATCTAACAAATCCAATTAACAGCTCCTCCTTTGTCAGATTGTGAGTAGAGGAAGAAAGGAAGTTGACAAACGGATTTTCTCTGAGATGGGGAGAAGAGCTAAAAGTTTTCCCCTTATAGTGTCAGTATCCTTTTCTTTTTTTGCTCTTAATTTTTAAATAACTTATAGAAGTATAGTGTACATAGTGAAAAGGGCACAAATCATAAGTATACGGATCAGTGAATTTTTACCACGTGAGCACACTTATGAAACCTCTGACTCCATCAAGAAATAAGACTATTACCAGCATCCTAGAAGCCTCCAGGCACACCTCCAGTCTCTGCCACCTCCGTGGGTGACAACTATCCTGACTTTTTTAAAAATTTAATTTATTTTACTTATTTTTAATTTTAATTTACATCCAGGTTAGTTAGCATATAGTGCAACGATGATTTCAGGAGTAGATTCATTAATGTCCCTTACCCATTTAGCCCATTCCCCCTTCACCATCCTTCCAGTAACCCTCTGTTTGTTCTCCATATTTAAGAGTCTCTTATGTTTTTGTCCCCCTCCCTGTTTTTATATTATTTTTGCTTAACTATCCTGACTTCTAACATCATAGGCTACTTTTGCCTATTTTGTACTTTATAGGTATGGAATCACACTGTTGATGAGTTCTACTGTTGATGATCAGTTGAGTTGTTCCCACTATTTGGTTATTACCATTATTGCTGCCATGAATATTCTAGTATATGTTCCTTGGTGCACATATGTGTGCATTAAGGTATACACCTGAGAGTAAATTGCTAATTGTTCTAGGATGTGCATGGTTTTCCAAGTGGCTGCACTAATTTACATTCCCACCACCTTTGTACGAAAAGTTCATTTGCTCCACTTACTTTGCATTTAGAATTGTCAGGATTTTCATTTTAGGCGTTATGATGGGTGTATATTTCATAATGGTTTTCATTGTGTTTCTCTGACGACTAATGTGGTTGAGCCTCTTTTCATACTTTACTGGTCCTTTGGGTCTCCTCTTTTGTAAAGAACCTGTCACATATTTTGCCTATTAGGTCAGATAGTTGTCTGTCTTTACCAAGAGTTCTTTACATGTTCTGGATACAAGTCCTTTGCCAGATATGCATATTGCACAGATACTCTCCCACTCTGTGACTTACATTTTCACTCTCAATGGTGTCTTTTGATAAAGAGAAGTTTTTTTTAATGTGGTTTAGTTTATGAGTTTTTTGCCATTATGATGGGTACTTTAAAAGCAAATCTTTGTTTCTCCCATATAATCTTTTAAAATGGCATTTGTATAGTGGGATTTTACCTATAATAGCATTAAGGCTTTATTTTTTTAGCTATGCTTTCATGGCAGATTAGAGCAGCAGTAGGGCTTTGCAAATGAAGCTGTCAAGAGGAGTGGACCTTTTTTCTGTTGTGAAAAGATATTCTGTTTTATTTTAACAAAGGAAAATTACTTATCAGTTTCTTCTTCTGATTAAATGTACTTAACTCCCTTTTAATTTCCATAAACTTTAAACAACTTACAAAAAAGATTTTTCTATATATAAAGGTAAATATTCTTATAGTTTTATACAGAACCATTCAGCTTTAGAAATAATTAACAGTATCAATACCAGAAAAAAATATACCTATGTTGTTATAAATGTGGTTGATCATACTTGTGTCTAATAATTTTATCATTTTTAGAACTTTTTGAAAATGAGCATGTACGTATTGGGCAAAAAGGTAAGCTTTTGATTCTACTAATTATGATTTCTGAAAATGAAACAGTCTTAAGTAAATGTCTGCATCATGTACTTCCAACTGAAATTCAATCTCTGGAAAGCTAAAAATCTAAAAAAGAGTACTATTTAACTATGTAGGTAATATAATGGGAATCTTTATAAAGAGGAGGAATGCATCATTTTGGCTTCATCAATAAATGTTAGATAAAGAAGAACACAGATGGTTCACTAAAAAGGAAATAATAAATGCAGACACACATTCTTCGAAAATGTGAGCTTAATCCATTCAGCAGAATTTCATTTTAAAATCAAAGAGGAAGGCTGTCTCTTTCATGCGCCCACACACTTCTCATTAGCGTTAATTGGAATATGCCCCTGCATTAGGAGAAGCTGTACTTCTCAATGACTGTTCACAATGGTAAGACTTAATACCCAAAGCGGCCCTTAGTGTTCTGGGGAATAATTTTTTCCCTATCTTTTGAAGATTCTTCTCCTTGTTTTTATAAATCTTATTTTGTCTTTGAAATGTGAAATGCAGATAAGTCTTTGTGTCAGAATGTACCTTCTAGGGCGATTGTCATGTTCTAAACTCCATACTTCAATTTTTCAAAATAATATTTATTCAAGACATCATCATTTTTTACTCGTATGTTTGACGTTTTCATTAAACAGAGTTGCAAATTAAGGAATATGTCTCATTTCTTTTTTTTTTTAAGTTTATTTATTTTTGAGACAGAGAGAGACAGAGCATGAACGGGAGAGGGTCAGAGAGAGAGGGAGACACAGAATCTGAAACAGGCTCCAGGCTCTGAGCTGTCAGCACAGAGCCCGACACAGGGCTCGAACTCACAGACAGCGAGATCATGACCTGAGCCGAAGTTGGACGCTTAACCAACTGAGCCACCCAGGCGCCCCATGTCTCATCTCTTTTATATGATCCCTTTGTTTCTTTTGGATATGTCATTTTCATTTAGTACAAGTTTTTTCCCTTTTCTTTTAAGAAGAAAATAGAAGAAAATAATATATTAGACAAATACCGGCAGTTGTCTGATATGTCTTTTTTTGCTTTTATTTTTATTTTGTGTGTTTTGGGAGAGCCTGTATTTTCAGACTTAATAGCTAGTATTTTAATTAAAGAAAATAAAAATGAAAATGAAAGCAAAAGCATAATATCTTAATTTTGTGAACTTGGCTGATTATAAAGAGCTTTTGGCCTTCTTAAAAGATTCTTAGTTCTTTTCTGTTTTTAGTTCTTTTTTAAAAAAATCTCTCTCTTCTGTTGATTTTGGGAAATAGCTAAGAAGTCATCGAATTCTTTATAATTCTTAGCCATAATACTTCAAATACCATAGTACTTCAAAATACTAGAACATTCCTGACTTAGAGAATATGCCTAAGAAATTTATGTGTCTATATCACTAGTTTCAGATCCATGGAACAAAGTGATTTCAAAGTACCTACATTAAAAATTTTTACCAAATTGGGTGGGAGGTAGAGGAATTTCAGACTCAACATGTATAGGGCTGTAAACAGGGCCACATCAAAATTCAGAGAGTACAAGAAGGCTGTCAAGACATGATGTAATTATGTTAGATATAGAGATGAAATATTAGCTTCCCCAAAGATTTTTAGTTAAAATATTTCAATGTTGTCTTACATTATGAAATTTGTAATGAGATTTTACTCTACTTTTGACAGTTCTAGCAGAACAAGATAGTGCCGCTGCTCAACAGTATATCAGACAAGGAAGCCCCACAGCACTGAGAGCAGAATTATGGGCTCTCATTTTGAATATTTCCAGTCAACCTGAGGTAAGAGTCAAAGAAGATAGGCTAAATTTGAGCTCATTGACATTTATTCTTCAGTGACCAGTGATTCACATTGTTGTTGTTTTTTTTTTTTTTAATTTTTTAAATGTTTATTTATTTTTGACAGAGAGAGAGGCAGAGTGTGAGCAGGGGAGGGGCAGAGAGAGAGGGGGACACGGAATCCGAAGCAGGCTCCGGGCTCTGAGCAGTCAGCACAGAGCCTGATGCGGGGCTCCAACCCACGTACTGTGAGATCATGACCTGAGGCAAAGCTGGACCCTAACTGACTGAGCCACCAGGTGCCCCAGTAACCAATTATTCAAAATAGAAATACTTTTTTTTTTAAATTTTGGTTTCTTAGCCTTATATATTTACCCCCTTTTTCATTTACAAAAATCACTGTAGTTTTGAGTTCTAAGACAAGATTAACATAGAATATAATCACTGTGTGCTTAACATAGAAATTTTTGTTACGATAATTAGTTGGATATTTTAAACTTATAGGTAAAAGAACAGTAAATAAAATTTTAAGAAATGGAGTCTGCCAGTGGAGATCAGTGAAGACATGTGAAAGAACTGGGATATTAGAATAAGGAGAGATAAAGGACCACTCAGTATATATAAATGAGCGCTTTCTCCCTACAGTTGCTTTTGAAACATGCACTATTTTTAGGGTTCTAAAAACTGACAGATTATGTGGCAATATTAGTTTTCTTAGTACAGGAACATTTTATTTTAGGAAATAAAATGAATATGAAGAGAAATCACCAACAGGCAAGTAACAGATTCAATAAAGAACAATTATATAAAACATTGATTCTTTTTGAAAAAAAATTGTTGTTTTGCTTAAAGCCCATTGATCATATAACCCATCCATTTAAAGATTTTTAATAAGTAGCGAACTAATAGCTCCCTGGCCTAGTGGTTGAAAGCATGGGTTTTGCAGGGGACGCCTGAGTCAGTTAAGGCATCTGACTCTTGATTTTGGCTTCAGGTTATGATCTCATGTTTCATGAGATCAAGCCCCACGTTGGGCCCCACGCTGATGGTGTGCGGCCTGCTTGGGATTCTCTCTCTCCCTCTCTCTGCTCCTTCCCCACGTGCACAAGCACTTTTCTCTCTCTCTCAAAATAAATAAACTTCAAAAAAAAAAAAAAAAAACTTGGGTTTTGGAATTATACGGACCTAGTTTCAACTCTAATCTTACTTAAAATGTGCCATTGAGTGAGTTAAATTTCTTGAAACCTCAATTTACCCATGCTGAAATATAGGTAATAATATTTATATCATAAGGTGGTTATGAGAATCAAATGAAAGGATATCTATGTCTTCTAACACAGTGCCTGACATGAATGGTCAACATTAATGATAGTAATAAAATAATACTTACATGTTGCATAGTTTTATGTTATAAATTAATTGTAATTTAGAGTAATGGTTTTTAAGAAAATCAACTATTCATATTATTATAAGAAGTACACCTCTGACTTTTGCAAATTATGTTACATGTGTGCTTTTCTGTGTATGTGTGTGTTTTGAATTTCCCTCTGTGAACATCACTGTCAAAAATTACTTGCTTCCTTTCTGAAAGAATAAACCTTGTGATTGAGTTGCAAGAAGTTTTAGACCAAATGATATTGGTATCTTTTGTGGTGACACTAGAAGTAAGTTTACAGAACAGAAGTGAGTGTACATTGGACATTTTGGGGGAGAGTATCAACTCTTGGAGAAGAGATGGTAACTCTTGTCGATCTAACTGTGTAGGTGACCTACCAAGTTCACTCATCAGGAGCTAGATTAACAAAACTTGTCTCTGCAGAGGAACTAATTGCTACTATTTTAGAAACAAATTTAGAATTTTTCCAGAAGTATCATCCTAGAGGGGCACCTGGGTGGCTCAGTTGGTAGAACATCTGACTCTTGATCTCAAGGTCTGAGTTCAAGTTCCATGTTGGGCATGGAGACTACTTAAAAAAAAAAAAAAAATAAGTGTCATCCTAGAATAAGAATAGTAATCCCAATTAAATTCCAATAAAAAATGGTTGTTTATTATAATGTTCAAAGGCAGTTTTCACACTTGAATTTTGGAGCTAATAGTCATCTTAATTTTTTTTGTTTATTTATTTTGAGAGAGAGAACGAGCATGAGCAGGGGAGGGTCAGAGAGACAGGGAGAGAGAGGATCACAAGCAGGCTCTGCACTGTTAGCACAGAGCCCAACTCAGGGCTTGAATTCACAAATCATGAGGTCATGACCTGAGCTGAAATCAGAAGTCGGACGCTTAACCAGCTGAGCCACCCAGGTGTCCCGTCATCTTAATCTTTAAATGTACAATGGCAAGTCTGGAAATAGAAATTAATATTTGCAGAAAAGCAACCTTGATTTCATTGAATAAAACACTTTCCATCACTTTCACTTATTTTCAGGTGTAAAAGTATGACCTCAACAAACTAAAGCAGTTCCAAAATAATTGTTGTAGGTGGTAGGTACATTGGGTGGGTGGGGTGGGAGGGAAGAATAGTCGTTTCTTATCAAGAATACTTTATCAGAACTTTTTTTCAATCACTTAAAATACGCGACACGTAGAAATACATCATAATTGAGGAGTTACAGAGATAAGTGGAATATTTCACATTTCACACCCATGAAGATATTTTTAAAAATCTTATCTCAATAGATAAACTGGATTTAATGATTTAAGTTCCTAGTAATTAATTTATTTCACTAGAACATTATTTACTTCGATGTTTTTTCTCTTATTAAGGAAATATGTCATACATTTAAAAAGATTGCTTTTGTATATTTTCTTATATGCAAATCTCTAGGTGCCCATCAGGATATCCATATTTAGTAAACATTCATCCTATTTTAAATTTTTTTGCTTAATTTAGTTTGCTAAAGAATTCTGAAAATTCTTCTCTACTTTGTTTTAGGTACTTGCTTACTAATAAATAGCCAGGACTAGTATTAATTAAAATTTTCTTTAGTGAGTTCATAAGTTTCTCCACAACCTTCCCCAGGTCGATAACAATGCCTGACCTTCCTAGATTTTCCTGGTCAGCTCATTCAGTCTTCATAGTGCCCGTTTCTGACTTTCATTCTCCTCAACACTTCTTTTCAGAGTCTTAGCAAAACGCCTCATCTTCTCCTTCCTGGAGAAAACAGATATCATCATAAGAGACTCGCTCAGATTCCTTCCACCAAATCTGTAAACTTATTTGTATCAGCACCTGTTCTTGCCTCCTGTACTTTTATAGCGAAACCTTCTGAAAGAAAAGTCTGTGTTGGAGGCATCACTTCCATTAATTACTCAGTCTACCATGGTCTGGCATACACCCCACTACATGACTACAACTGCCATGGCTAAAGTCACCAAAGAACAGTGGATACATTTTAGCCTTTACGTCTACTGTGTTTGATACTCTTGCTTACTCTGCCCTTGAAGTATTCTTGCTCTTTAATTTAGTTTGCCCTGTTTTCTTAGTTCTTCATTCTCTTTCTTTCTTTCTTTCTTTCTTTCTTTCTTTCTTTCTTTCTTTCTTTCTTCTTTTTCTTTTCTTTTTTTTCATGTCCATTTTGAGTTCCTTTGCTGGACCTTAAGGGCTTGTAATTGTAAGAATTCCATTTTGATCTTCTTTTCATTCTGTACTACATGTTGCCTGGCCTGTCTTACTTACAGGTCACTTATTCCCTAATGGCTTTGACTCTGGGTTCAGCCAAACTCTCTCTTACGCCTAAAACTTTAATTTCCAGTTGCCTACAGAACTCCAATATGTGTTCTGAAATTATGCCAGACTCCTGATGTCTAAAAGAAAAGGCATAATTACCTCGATGCGTTTGTGGTTCTTCAAGAGATGCTGTTTTATCTTTCTTTGCTCCCTGCAGTTCTCATCCTGAAAAAACCTCCGCGGACTTTTGTCTGCTTGGAAACGCCTACTCTTCTTTTAGACGCAGCTTGTTCTGTCACCTTCTCTGAGAAACCTTCCTACCATTCTCTCCCCTACCTTGTCTTCTCCCAGCTCCATCACCACTACAGTTAGACACCTTTTTCTCTCTCTCCTGTCTTAACCAGGGCAGGAACAAAGGCCTAAAGACACAGAAACACATACCATACTTCTTCTTTTCTTTTGTTTTTTTTTTTCTTCTAAGTTTCTTTCTTTATTTTGAGAGAGAGCATGCAGAGGGAGGGACAGAGAAGGAGAATCCCAAGCAGGCTCTGCATTGTCAGTGCAGAGCCCACCATGGGGGTTGAACCCACGAACCGTGAGATCATGACCTGAGCCAAAACCAAGAGTCGGACACTTAACCAGCTGAGCCACCTAGGCGCCCCGCATATACTATACTTCTTATTCATTTGGCTGCTGCAGTTTCTAGGTCGAATACCTGAGGACAAGGATTGTTTTTCCTCTTCACCATCTGTAAATGTCAGTATCTTGTACAGTGTCTGAAAATGGTAGGCTCACATAATGTTTAATGACCTACAAAATGTTAGGAATGTTCTTTGGAGTCTTTCATTTCCTGTGAGTATATTTCCTTTTTTCTTTAGTTAAAGAGTGTAAGTCTGCATAAAGTACCAAACAAATATATATACTAAAGTTTAAATATCCTCTGATGCTAAAAATTTGGGCTACTTTGTTTTTCAGAGATGGCTTTTTATAATTATAATTTATTACTCTTAAACATCTATATTACTGGAGCTTAAAAATATCCTGTTATATTATTAGTAATCATTGCATTTTCTAATTGCTTATATATTTTATAGACTATAATTAAAATATTAATATAAAAATCATCGTTTATCACTATAACATAGTTATAATTTCAACTTCATTATCCGTGTTTTTCTTTCGTTTTATATGGATAAATTACACTAAAAATTACTGAAACCAAACATCCTAGATTGGAATTAAGAGGACTAGTTGAGTCACTAGCCAGTTCTGTAAGTTTGGCTAAGACAGTTAACTTGGCCAGATCTCATTTCCTTAATGTTCAAATAAGGCAAA